AGGTATCAAACATAAAGAAAAACAGAAATCCTCCTTCTCCCATTATGCAAAATAATTCTTTGGCCATTTGCGATATCCATATTTGATGGTTTTAAAAGCATATAGTGTAGGCAATCTCCATTCTGGCATACCCTGACATCGTTAAAGTTCTGGAACTTAAATACAAAGTGGAGAAGCCCATTTAAAAAATGAACATTTATGCTTATCTATTAAAATACAGGCCCAATAAAATCTCTATTCTTGTTCTAAAACTAACAGGTGTTGGAGTGATAAAAGTCAAGACAAAAGTGGGAAAGGCTTTTCACATACTTTCCTTCAATTTCTACAGCAACCCAGCTTTTGACAAGAGGGCTTCTGACTGCTCAATCTGATGGCCACACAAACTTATAAAAGCTGCATAGCATTTCCCAGGGGGAGGCATAATGAAATAAATGCATTCATGAATATGTATGGGAGTTGGAGACCATCTGTCCCCTAACATCTTTTCTTAAAGCACATATATTTGCACAGGAAAGTTGTGTCTTCATGCACATCCCAAGCAAGCCACAAACCATTTTGATGTAGATGAAGTTCTGACTGATTTAGGTTGATTTGCTTTCCAGACTGGATCATACAAATCCTAAATGAACTTGCTCAGACCTTTCAAGATCATTGCATCGATTGCTGAAAACTAGTATGGCACAGGAATTTGTTTGTAACTTGGGAAATTCAGATCAAAGTCCCTTCTGAGTCATGAAATTCACTGAGATCTTAGTCGAGTCACACACGTGTGTCTGCGCGTGCACACGCATGCACGCGCATACACACGCACGCGCATGCACACACTTTCTCTAGCAGGTCTACCCCACCAGATTGTTTGTATTAGGATAAATTGGAGTGGGACAGACCCATTTATTCTGCCTTAAACTGACTGAAGGATAACATATAAATATCAGGGCCCTACTGTACATTTCTTCTCTAAGAAAAATTACAGTATCTTCAACCAGGAGGGCTCCAATGCAGCTGTAGCCATTAAAGTAACATAAATTCCAAGAGGATGTTTAGCTACATATATTCAATCCAGCCATTAGGAAATAGTATATGGTTTGCTCTTTTTTTTGGCCAGTGTTGTGTTATTTTAAGTCACGCTGTTGCTAAATTGTGGCTGACTCTGATTGTAGATGTTGTGCTGGTGCTACTGTTTTTAGCGGGGCTGTGCTAGTGCACAATATCTAACTTTTCAGCTTCCTCTGAAGACTGTAATACTCAGTATTTCATAGGACCATACAATAGTAAGTGAAATGCAACATATGCTAGGGAGCAAGTGTGAAAAGCCTGCATGTCCCTAGGAGACATGTTGCCAGGAGATCTTGGGTTGTGGCCCTTGTTGTACTGCAGCACACTATTAAAAGACAGAGGATGCTTTTCCTGTGCCTCTTTGCCATGGCATCTGGGTGATTATCCCAATTGTTCTGCATCTTGACTGCCTCTGTGACTGTTCTGGGTTGATAAAATATTCTGTGAACAACAAGAGAAGCAATAAAGGTTACTTAGGTTTCCATGTGCTTTTTACTCTCTAATTTCAGCCTAATTACACTGGTAGCCAATATACAATGTTGTTATTTTATTTTAAAGAGCAGCTTAAACCGCCCGTTTATATTTTGAAAGTGTGGGGAGGGGATCAACAAATAGCTGCAGCATATAGACCTGAAGCATATAGATCACTTTAAGAATTATCACCCCTCCTGGCTGCTATTTGCACTTGAAGGTCTTTCTTCTTTCTTTCTTATAGTCTGAGGGCAAGTAGCAACACAGGGAGATTTTCAGCTGTTGGCTGGACAGTTAAGTGAGTTGGAGGGCCTCTCTGCAGAGCAAGAAATTGGGAGTTCCATTCTCCACTATGCCTCCCAGAAGAAAAACTGGCCTGTGTAGCTTTGGGTACGCTGCACAGAACTAGAGAAGGAATTGGTAAACTGCTTCTTAGTATTTCATATCTAGGATGTCACTCATCAAAATCAATTCCACAATCAATATAATCAGTGAAAGTGTTCAGCAGGACATTGATGTGGGCTCCCAGTCTGATGAGGGTCAGATGTTCTTGATGCAGCTCCTGAATAAAACTATCCAGTCCAACCGCACTTTGTAAAATGTACATGCTTAGATTAGCATGTATGTCGCTCAGCCCATTATTTAATCCTTAGTTTTTAATCACTTCTGCAAAAGATGTGTGTTATTACAGTTGATATGTGTCTGAGCGTCTTCAGCCATATATATATCCCACTCCTGGTGTAGAAAGAGCTACAGGGAGTGCAGAGTATACATTCACCTCATTTTCTACCACTCCTACATGACCAACACAAACTGCAACAGATCATTTTTCCTAAACTGGTTTTCAGAATAATTTGAGTTTTTTCTGACCAGCTGGGGATAGGAATAATAGAGCTGTTCAACCCCTGAAGCTATGATTTTGGTGGTGGCGGTGGGAAAGTGGCACAATTCCTGTTTTAAAGTGATGGCTCAAGCATAGATGAGAAGATATCATTCGAGCCTTGCTTCAGATGTCCAAATGTTTTTGGGGTGCCTTATATTGAACGGTGCTTTGGGCAATGGTACCAATTTGTTTAACTCTGTTGGGCTATGACAGTTGCTGCAAACTCACTCAAATTACAAAGCTACAGAGTTATGTTAGTAGCAACATTATTGTTACATTTTTTTATCTCTATAATACTTTAAATGTTATAGGTTTGGTTCATCCTTTATCCGGTTTTATCTGCCTTAAAGCAAGATCATGCAGGTACACACGTGTATGCACACATGCCTGCCCGCATATGTGCGCACAAACACGTCTCTCTTTTTCCCCAACATGAAATGTAATGCACATTGGCGTGATCACTGTCTCTGGCAATCTATTCTTAGGTTCTATGCCAACAGCAACATAAAAGTAATTTCCAGATCCGGCTTAAAAATAAAGAAAACAACAAGAAAGCAGGCAAGCAAGCCCTCAGACTAGATGAAAAAAGAGTAGCATTTAGAAAGGAAATGCAGGGAGGGAAATAAACTTATAGACACGAGCAGTCATAAGACTGGGGGGAGGGGTCTAAGCAGATTCATCATTTTGCACCACATCAACCCATTCTTTCCTATGCTTAGCTTAAAGTGCTAGTAATTTTTTTTAAAAAAATGATAATTATGTGCTATCATGTCAATTCTGATTTATGGCAGCCCTCCCAGATACACAGAAACAGTTTACTAGTCCCTCCTTCTGGTCGAGTAATACAGGTGCCACAGCACAGAACCCATCAGGCACATGAGCTCTGAGTTAGTTCCACTAAAACACTCCTAGGGGTCACAGTGAGGATTAGATATACACTTCAGGCTCTCCAAGCCAGGAGCTCCAACCCACTATTGGTGCTATATCTTCAAGGCTTCAAATGGCTTATTTATTTTATTTACTACATTTCCATGCTTCCTTTCTCCTGGCAATAGGACTCAAGGTGGCTTACGGATCATTAAAAGAGACAGGAATTAAGACAACGTACAAGAAGCGTTAAGACAAAATTAAATGTGAAAATATTAAAATCATCATCTAAAAAGGCATTTTAAATACATTAAAAAGGATATGCTGGCAGCCAGCAAAAGGCAACTAGCTGGGTTAAATACTGTACTAAAAGCCTGTTGGGATGAAAATGTTTTTGATTGCCACCAAAAAGAGAGGAGAGAGAACTTCAGCCTAGTCTTGGAGAGGCCATTCCATAGCATGGCAGCAGGCTATCTCAAGGACCCCTGGCATTCATAGGAACCTGCCTTAGCCTTAAGTTTTGTCCCAGTTTACCTGGTCCAGGGCCTTTTCAGAAATTGTCCCACACTTCTGGAACTTCCTCCCCAGGACATCTCTTCCCCATTCCCATTGTTGCTTTTGGCCAATCCCTAAAAATATCTTTCTAACTGCTCTTGTCCCCATACACGCTGCTTCTGTTTTTACTTTGGCATTTCTGATCGTTTTCACTCACTTAACATGTCTGCTGTGAGCCATCTTCTGAGGTCTTTCCTTAAAAGTGAGGTACAAATTGATTTTAAAAACCCGCATCTGACTTCATTCTGGCACGCAATAAAAACGTTTATGAAAGGTCGTATCAAACAGCATACTCTCTTGCGGGGGGGGGGAGATGGTGAGTCACACAACATAAAAAAGTCTTTTCAGGAACGCCATCCAGGTTCTGCTTCTGTGCTTTAATATTTGAATATTCCTTTTCTTGGCCACTATAATCCGTATCTGGCTCCACAAATGAATCGCATGCTTCCGATACCCAAAACGCAACTTTCTCCGGCGCGCTGCTGCTTGACGCTTTAAATATGGTCGGCCGGTCTCTCTAACTACGATAGGGTTTTAAGATTCCTATTGTTAGCCACTATCATAAATACAGGGCTTAAATCGTTAACTGCAACCTTACAGGACCCAGAGCAACCTTATCTCAAGTGCCCCCCTGGATGTTTCAATAGACCTTTTTCTCTTGTGGTAAACAGATATAAAAACGTGTTGCACCCCCTTCTGTATCTCTCAGGAGACCCTTTATTGTTTGACTCCAGCATAAAGGCACGGGTGAGGAGGGGGGGGCGACAAAAAAAACCCGGCTTCCCTCCTCGTCTTGCCTCTCGCTCAGGCCCCCATAAAAAAGGGGTCTTCGTCAGAGACGAGGAGCATGTGTGCCCGTGGTGGTGGTGGTGGGGGAGTGTTGTTGCTACGGCTCCCCGTTCCCACACCGACTGACGGCTGGCGAGAAGTGCTGCTGCCCCACGAAGCCGGGCTTAGGCTCCTCTCGTCTCCGCCCCCCCCTCCTCGCGAGCTCCTTTGTTACCAACCCCTACAGATGGTGTCCTGCGCGGGTCTCTGGTGTATTGAAGGCTGGCGGAGGACCCGGGAAAGCGGCGCGCGCCGTGAGGGAGGGAGGGAGGGAGGGGGGAAGAGGGAGAGAGAGAGACGAGAGTAGCCAATGGCGAGGCAGCCCATCAGCTGACCCGCTTTGCTTACACCAGGTGCACGCCGGCGGCAGGCTGTGCAAAGCCGCCCGCAGGAAGGAGGGAAGGAAAGGAGGCAGCCGCTACCAAGGCGAAATCGGAGCGAAGGAAGCGCCAGCCGCTCGCTACCTGCGGACTACAGCGCGGACGTTACAGCCACAGGCGGGGAAGAAGAGGGGGGGGGAGGACGCGCCTCCCGGAGCCGCACTCCGCTCCTTGCCGAGGAAGAGATTTTCGTAGCACCCGGCGCTTGGTGTGTGGGGGTGTGTGTGCGCGAGCCTGGCCAGCCGCTGGTCCTGGTTGCTCCCAGGGAGGGCCGGCAGCTGTTGCGCGAGCCGAGCTCTCTCGCCTTCTTGCATGGGGGGCCCCGCAACAGAAGAGCGGCTTGGGTAGCGGCAGCGGCGGCGGCGGCGGCGGCAGACCCGGGTTCTCTCCCCGCCCACCGCGCGCTCTTCGGGTAAGTGCCTTCGCTTGCCTGAATAGAGGCGCTGACNGGGCGGGGGGGCTGCAGTAGAAGCCAAGTTGTTCTGGAAGTAGGGCTACGGTCGTGGAAGGAAGGGCCGGAGAGGAGAGAGGCCCGAGGGGCTGGAAGCCGAGATGCCCGCGGCCGAGGGGAGACGAAAGGCTTCCTCCGCGAAAGGAGCGCGAGGGGAGCCCGCGCGCGCCTCAGAGAAGCCGGGATGCGGCCGCCGGCTTGGGTTTTGAAAGGCGGCGGAGTGGGAGGGCTTTTGCCAGCCCGGGGAGAGGGAGTGTTTCCTAGTGGGGAGAGGGACGCCAAACCCTCCATCGCAAGCCTGCAAAACAACTTCTGGATTTCGCCTAGAGAACGTGCAAAGCGTTACTTCCCCCCCCCGAGTGCCGCTCCCAGGATCTCCCAAGAAAGAGAAACGTTTCCAAAACCTCTGCTTCACTCCCCAGGGTTAAGATGAAGGAAGAAACCTTAGTTTTTTTTTTCTGTTTTAAACCCACCCACCCCCGCCTCTCATGTGGCAGGAGGTTGCCTCCGTTTGGCCCCGGCCTGGGGAGTCCGCAAAAGAACCAACAAAAGGTCTCATCATCTTTCCTTTCGCTCCGGAAAAAGGGAGTCCACGTTCCCTTTGAGCGGCGCTTCTTTCGTCCTCGGAAGGTCTGGGGACTTTGCAAGCCTGGTCGCTTCTCGCCGCTTGGTTTGAAAGCCCCTTCAGAGAGGCTCGCGCCGGCGGCGGCAGCGGGGCACGATCCAGCCTTGGCGGGCCGAGTAGGGAAAGTTTGCCAGCCAGTGTCCTTTGTCCTCCCAAACAAGGGAAGGATGGCGGGCGGAGCAGCAGAAGCAGCACCACCACGAGGAGGAGGAGGGGGGGGTCCCCTCTCGCTCGCTCGCTCCCTTAAAGATCTGGAGTCGCTTATAGGTTTCCAGCCCAGGGAACAGCTGCTCCCTTTTTTTGCGCTGAATCTCTGCAGTGGTTTTGGGATACATTTCCGTGGAACGCTGGTGGTCTGTTTAGCGGTGGCGTTGCTTAATGCTGGGGAATGTGTGGTGTTGAGAAAAACTGAGGCTTACCCTGCTGTGACTGGTGACTGAATAAATGCTACCTTTAGTACTATATTAATATATCCTCTAGGGAGGATTCTTAGATATATAGATATGTATGTATTTATTTGTTTATTTAAAGGCCATCTTTGCACAGGACACATTTCAAAAAAAATTTCACACTCTTACTATCCATGTAGCCGACTCCCGTGATGTCCTCCCCTTCCTCTCAGTTCTAGCACACTTTAATACTTGAGGTTTTTCAGTCTTGTAACATGGCATGTTCTCCCTTCCTTTTCTTCGTTGTGTCCATTGTGCTTTTTTAAATGGACCTGCTGCATTGAGCATTGAGGGGATTTCCCCCCCCAACCCCCAGTGCATAGCAAAGTGTAACGGACAGGAAAAGTATGAAGCTGAAGTTTTTGATTTCCATTTTGTGTGATGAGGAGGCTGAGGCCAGTCTCTGTCCAGTGACAGGCTTGTGTGTCCCCCTAAATCTCTGATTTGCATGCAAATGTGAGCGCACCCTGGCAGATGTCTGGCCTCATCCATTCACATGAAGGAATTTGAAAAGACAAGGAGTCTTCAGTTTAACAATAGACCTTAAGAAAATGGTATAAAGGCTCTGTGTGAAGAGATCCCCCCCCCTTTTTTTTTCTTTTCTGCTTGGAAATTATATGGCTTGCTGTCTATAGTAATGTGAGACCATTATGGGGTGAAACATGCTTCCCTTTGAGAACTTTGGTGCAGCCCCTGGATTCCAGGTAGGATTGGAGAGAAAACTGGGCCTCTAAGCTTTGCAGATGGAAAAGATGCCAAGAGTGAGCAAGCAACTTGAAGACCACATCCACAAAGGAACCAGTCCTGTCTCTGAGCCATTGTGTGAGGTGAATAGAGAGCCCAGGGTCTTGAGTGGTGTAAAAAGCAGGGATTTCACGCCATCTGCAAGGTCAGCCAGCCAAGAAGCCAGAGACTGAAAAGGATCTTCCACATTGTAGGAGAATACTTTGTCTGAGGAAAGCTGATAATATGTAGAGGGGAAGAGTAGTTCCCAATAGATGGAAAGACTGCATCTAGAATATAAATTTTAAAAGAGTGGGAAGGTATAGTGGTTGGAGTGTTGGACTGGGAGCTCTGAGATATTCTGCCAAGCAGAATATCTGGGTGACCTTCAACTGCTCACATTCTCTCAGCCTAGCCTACATCAACAAGCTGTAATGAGGAGAAAGTGGGTGACAGAGAGAGCCATTTATATATCCTGTTGAGCTCATTGAAGAAGAAGTGACATAAAAATGTAATAAACAATGAAAATGTGTAGAACTGAAGTGTCATTTACTATTATGGACAGAGCAGGATTCCACCTTCTGGGGCCCCAACCCGATTTCACTCTTTGTGAGAAGTTTGAAGCCTGCTTCCACACTAAGATTGAGGCCCTCTGTAGGGACCTTGACACTGTTAGTACAAAAGGTCATGTTGAGATGTCCAACACACCATCTTTGTCTGGTTTTATTGGATCAGTTTAAGCCTATGTCGCCTGATGATGAGGACAAGGCACTCTCACACTTTAAGGCCACCACCTCCCAGTCAGACTTATGCCCCTCCTGGCTCTTAAAATCGGTCAGGGCAGTGATGGTTGAATGGGCCACTCAGATTGTGAACTCCTCCTTCCAGGAGGGATATTTGCCCCTTGATTTGAAGGAGACAATGATCTGGTCCATTCTGAAAAGAAGTTAATTTGTCAACCTACAATTTAAACAACTGCTGTCTGGTTGCTAACATACCATTCATGGGGAAACTGATTGAGAGTTTGGAGGCTGACCAGCTGCAAGCGTTCTTGGAGGATACTGATAGTTTGTATCCTTTCCAATGGATTCAGGCCACGTTATGGGACTGAGACATTTCTGGTCACCCTGCTAGCTGACCTGTTGTGGGAGGCTGACTGGGATAGTGTGACCCTGTTGGTCCTCCTAGACCTCTCAGCTACCTTTGATACTGTTGACCACAGTATCCTCCTGGATCGGTTATCGAGATTGGGGATCGGAGGTATAGCTTTATGCCGGCTCTGTTCCTTCCCCAATGGCCTATGCCAGAGAGTTCAGCTTGGGGGACACGACAACGTGGTGGTCCACAGAGGTCAGCCATCTCCCCCTTGCTGTTTAACATCAACATGAGGCCACTGGGAGAGGTCATTCAGAGATTCAGAGTTCTCTGTTGTCAGTCCGCTGATGATATGCAACTCTTATCTCTGCTTTTCCACTTCAGCACGGGAAGCTGTACAGACCCTAGAAGGCTGCCTGGCCATAGTTATGGATTGGATGAGGGCAAATAGGCTGAAATCCTGACAAGACGGAGATTCTGTTGTTGGGAGGGCATCCCGATCAATTAGGGGGGCTGTTACCTGATCTTGATGGGGTCACACTTCCCGTGAAGAATCAGGTGCAAAATCTGGGTGTGCTTCTGAACCTGGCCGTCTCGATAGAGAAACATCCTGGCTTTGGCCAAATCTGCCTTTTTCCATCTGATTGCACACCTCTGGCCCCTTCTTGACAGGAGATCCCTAATAACACTAGTTCATGTGTTGGTAGATTTAAGGATTGACTGTTGTAATGCTTTCTATGTGGGGCTGCCCTTGAAGGTAGTTCGGAAGCTGCAGCACATGCAAAATGCAGCGGCCAAGCTGGTTACTTATACATCTAAATTTGACCATCAACCAGAAATGGGGCCTTTTCGGTAGTGGCCACTTCACTCTGGAACTCTCTTCCTTTGGAGGTGCGACTGGCCCCCCACCCTCCTGAGCAAATTAAAACCTGACTTTTTATCCAGGCCTCCACAAGCACCACCCTTTTGTAAAACTATGCTGGTCTGCCATCCTATTTCCCAGACTGGTGAGGGGATAGGGTTTTTTGTTTGTTTTCGTTTTATATGTTTTATATGGGTTTAGTATTTTTAACAGTATGTTTTATAATATTTTGTAAGCCGCCCAGAATAATGACATGGTCACTAAATGGGCAGGCCATAAACTTGAATAAATAAATACATGTATTATGTATTTATATTATTTATTGCTTACATTTCTATACAGCATTTTCTGCAGTGACCTCAAGACGATTTATAAGGCTATTATTTTTCTCATTTTGTCTTAAACAGCTACAGTATGAGGTCAGGCAGAGAGGGAAAGAGAGCATGATTGGCCTAAGGTCACCCAGGGACTTTTACAGCTCAGTGAGGACATAAATAAGATCTCCCAAGTTGCAATCAAGGGCCTTAACCGCTCTAAGTCATATTTAAACTGTCTTTACAGTTCCTCTCAGTTTCTGCCCAGGAATCATCCAGCGATTAACCACCTGTTTCTCAGATAGCAAATTAATGAGAAGAAGAGAGTGTTATTTTATGAACAACTCAAAAGATTCCCAAACCAGATACTTCCATGCTTGCTGAGAATTCAGAGAATTGTCATACAAAAAAAGTAGCTTTTCTGAGTAGAAAAATTGCACGTAAGTCTAGGGAGCTGGCTTTCCATCTGTTCACATATATACCTAAGTGAACCACTGTCACTTCTGAAAAATTGGCCTGCTTGGAAGTTGTCCTTACTAGAAGCAGTGGTTGATAGCTAGAAATAACTAGCTGTTTGAAAGCTTAGTCGAACATGACCAGATAGACGGGATAGAAATGAAATGAATAAATAAAATAAATAAATTAATTCCCTCTCCCTCACCCACACTTGTTCCTCCTCTTAGCCTATTGTGGTGATGAAGGCCTGGAAAGTTTTGTTGGCAGTGTGACTGGTACAGTAGTTGCTCCGCTGTACACAAAGGTCCTTTGCCAGTTTTTCTGAGCCATAATGCGTGAAATCCAGATTAAAAGTGTCAATGTTAGGATTTTCCAGAGAGGTAGTTGTATTAGTCTGTAGTCTGCTGTAGCAAAAATTGTCCTTCAAAGCTTCCACA